TGTAACATAACAATGAGTAAGGTCTTTTACCTGCTTTTTGTATCATAACAATGAGTCAGGTCTTTTACCTGCTTTTTGTAACATAACAATGAGTAAGGTCTTTTACCTGCTTTTTGTATCATAACAATGAGTAAGGTCTTTTACCTGCTTTTTGTATCATAACAATGAGTAAGGTCTTTTACCTGCTTTTTGTATCATAACAATGAGTAAGGTCTTTTACCTGCTTTTTGTAACATAACAATGAGTAAGGTCTTTTACCTGCTTTTTGTATCATAACAATGAGTCAGGTCTTTTACCTGCTTTTTGTAACATAACAATGAGTAAGGTCTTTTACCTGCTTTTTGTATCATAACAATGAGTAAGGTCTTTTACCTGCTTTTTGTATCATAACAATGAGTCAGGTCTTTTACCTGCTTTTTGTAACATAACAATGAGTAAGGTCTTTTACCTGCTTTTTGTAACATAACAATGAGTAAGGTCTTTTACCTGCTTTTTGTAACATAACAATGAGTAAGGTCTTTTACCTGCTTTTTGTATCATAACAATGAGTAAGGTATTTTACCTGCTTTTTGTAAAGTGTCTCGAGATAACACTTGTTATGAGTTGACGCTATACAAATAAAAATTGATTGATTGATAGACTGTACAGCGTTTGACCCTAACGGACCCTAACAGTCTGTAATGAAGACCCTAACAGTCTGTAATGAAGACCCTAACAGTCTGTAATGAAGACCCTAACAGTCTGTAATGAAGACCCTAACGTCTGTAATGAAGACCCTAACAGTCTGTAATGAGGACCCTCATAGTCTGTAATGAAGACCCTAACAGTCTGTAATGAAGACCCTCACAGTCTGTAATGAAGACCCTCACAGTCTGTAATGAGGACCCTAAGTCTGTAATGAGGACCCTAAGTCTGTAATGAGGACTCTCACAGTCTGTAATGAGGACCCTCACAGTCTGTAATGAGGACTCTCACAGTCTGTAATGAGGACCCTCACAGTCTGTAATGAGGACTCTCACAGTCTGTAATGAGGACTCTCACAGTCTGTAATGAGGACCCTCACAGTCTGTAATGAGGACCCTAAGTCTGTAATGAGGACTCTCACAGTCTGTAATGAGGACCCTAAGTCTGTAATGAGGACTCTCACAGTCTGTAATGAGGACCCTAAGTCTGTAATGAGGACTCTCACAGTCTGTAATGAGGACCCTAAGTCTGTAATGAGGACCCTCACAGTCTGTAATGAGGACCCTAAGTCTGTAATGAGGACTCTCACAGTCTGTAATGAGGACTCTCACAGTCTGTAATGAGGACCCTAAGTCTGTAATGAGGACTCTCACAGTCTGTAATGAGGACTCTCACAGTCTGTAATGAGGACTCTCACAGTCTGTAATGAGGACTCTCAGTCTGTAATGAGGACTCTCAGTCTGTAATGAGGACTCTCACAGTCTGTAATGAGGACTCTCACAGTCTGTAATGAGGACTCTCACAGTCTGTAATGAGGACTCTCAGTCTGTAATGAGGACTCTCAGTCTGTAATGAGGACCCTAAGTCTGTAATGAGGACCCTGATATCAGTGTTTTCAGCTCTGAGTTTATGATTAAATGTTTAATTATAGTTTATCATCATCTGAAAATAAAGAATAATTCAATCTTAACCATCTGCTCTCTTCAACTGTCACTCAGGATAATTATCGCTATCGACTGATGTGACGTTTTATATGATGATTAAATGATTCGTCATATCGCCCAGGCCTAACAAACGCTCAGCAGACTGTTAAAATAATGTTTAAACATCCAAAGCTGGATATTGTCCTGGTGGTTTGTGCAGACAACAGTTTGAGATTTAAAGTGATGACGGTTAAAAAGAAACCTTCAGAGTGAACAACAGCAGCCTCTAGTGGACGCCAGGAGAACAGCAGCTGAAGACCCATGTAGGTCAAGGTCGACTTTAACTGTGTGTGTGTGTGTGTGTGTGTGTGTGTGTGTGTGTGTGTGTGTGTGTGTGTGTGTGTGTGTGTGTGTGTGTGTGTGTGTGTGTGTGTGTGTGTGTGTGTGTGTGTGTGTGTGTGTGTGTGTGTTAGATTGCAGAGCTGGTGCTGGACAACAGTCGCTCTGCAGACGGCGAGGTGGAGGGTCTGACAGACGCGTTCACAGAGCTTGAGTTCCTCAGTATGGTCAACGTGGGTCTGAGCTCGCTGGCGAAACTGCCCTCACTGCCCAAACTACACAAGGTAACACACACACACACACACACTCACACACACAGTTTGAACAATGATTGTTAATTGTTCTGTGTTTGTGTTCTCAGTTGGAGCTGAGCGACAACAACCTGTCAGCTTCTCTGGAGACGCTGTCAGAAAAATGTCCAAACCTGACCTACCTCAACCTGAGCGGGAACAAGATCAAAGAGCTGAGCAACGTGGAGGCTCTGGTGAGGACGGACACACACACACACACACACACACACACACACACACACACACACACACACACACACACACACACACAGCTGTAAAGAGTCATCAGCCAATAGAAACACGTGACTTTAATCATTGATAAACAGTATGAGCCTGCTAACACACTCTGTCCTGCTGCAGCAAAACCTGAAGAGCCTGCAGAGTCTGGACCTGTTTAACTGTGAGATCACGTCTCTGGAGGACTACAGGGAGAGCGTGTTCGAGCTGCTGCCTCAGGTCACCTACCTGGACGGATTTGACCAGGAGGACAACGAGGCGCCCGACTCTGAGGCAGATGATGAAGGTGAGCACAAAGCCAGCTCAGGTGTGCCCCCTCCTGGCCAGTGTAAAACACAGCGGCTCTGATTGGTTCATGTCTTTATGATTTGACTGACAGGAGGGTGTGTTATGTGTTTGTCAGAAGGCTAAAGCCCTGCTTCTTTTTGTAGATTGATCAAACGCCTCTTAGGTAAGCAACAGGTGACGTCACTCAGACCACATCATGTTTGATCCCGTCTGTTGTCTGAACCCCGCTTTCTGTGTTCACAGACGAGGACGGCGAGGACGGGGCGGGGCCGACAGGAGACTACGACGATGACGACGACGAAGAGGAGGACGAGGACGGCTCAGAGGGAGGAGAGGTGGGGCTGAGCTTTCAGGTGAACCGTGCTAACCAGGTGGGCAAATCAGGCTTCGGCCTGCAGGTCGATCCAGAAACCAGCTTCACTTTCCCATCATGCACCTGTGCTCAGGCAGGCAGAGAACAGGAAACAGTTTAACGACTATAAGCAGATCAGACGCTCAGAGCTCACCTCAAATATTTCAGGAAGTTAAAAATGATTATTGAATCAAAACACATCATGTCAGGGTTCATAAGAACAGGCTGCCACCATCCCAGAACTTTGATTCTGACCCAACAATAATGAGACCGGTTTGGATATCGTGGCAACCATAAGAGAAGTCCTGGACGGCCAGCGTCGGGTTATTTAGGAGAATATGCTAACTGTGTTTTTATTGATCCATAATTAGAAACAGAATCACGTCGTTTCTATAACGGCCTTCCGCTCTTTGGAGCCCAGATCTGATCTCAGAGTTTATCATGACGTCCTGTTCTCTGCCTGGTCTGACCTGAGCTGGTTTAAAGGATCGACCTCAGGTGTGTCATCAGGTGTGTCATCAGCTGTGACCGTGTTCCTGACCAGGTTCAGCACCAAAATGGCCGCCTCTGAGAATAAGTGTTTCAAACAACGGATTTATTTCCCTCACTTAAATGTTTTAAACATCTTTAAAATCATTATTCTTATAAATATGATGTGAAATATTAAGATCACAGATGAAATGATTTCATGGTAACAATCAACACATTATTCTGCGCCCTGTGATACCTGACAAGTGAAAGATGGAGGACACAGTTTAGTTTAAAGAGCTTCGATTATAAAACGTTTCAGAATCATGTAAATCAAAACAACACCCGTCAGAGTCGGCCCGATGGAGGTCAGCCTGGTCACTGTGATGTCATGACATCATCAAAAAACTCATTACTGTCGTCCAATCATAAACCACCTTCTCCTTAGAGCTCTTTAGTGTGTGACCCCCGTAGAGCTCTTTAGTGTGTGACCCCGTAGAGCTCTTTAGTGTGTGACTATGTAGAGCTCTTTAGTGTGTGACTATGTAGAGCTCTTTAGTGTGTGACCCCCGTAGAGCTCTTTAGTGTGTGACCCTGTAGAGCTCTTTAGTGTGTGACTATGTAGAGCTCTTTAGTGTGTGACTATGTAGAGCTCTTTAGTGTGTGACTATGTAGAGCTCTTTAGTGTGTGACCCCGTAGAGCTCTTTAGTGTGTGACCCCGTAGAGCTCTTTAGTGTGTGACTATGTAGAGCTCTTTAGTGTGTGACCCCGTAGAGCTCTTTAGTGTGTGACTATGTAGAGCTCTTTAGTGTGTGACTATGTAGAGCTCTTTAGTGTGTGACTATGTAGAGCTCTTTAGTGTGTGACCCCGTAGAGCTCTTTAGTGTGTGACAATGTAGAGCTCTTTAGTGTGTGACTATGTAGAGCTCTTTAGTGTGTGACCCCGTAGAGCTCTTTAGTGTGTGACTATGTAGAGCTCTTTAGTGTGTGACCCCGTAGAGCTCTTTAGTGTGTGACTATGTAGAGCTCTTTAGTGTGTGACCCTGTAGAGCTCTTTAGTGTGTGACTATGTAGAGCTCTTTAGTGTGTGACTATGTAGAGCTCTTTAGTGTGTGACCCCCGTAGAGCTCTTTAGTGTGTGACCCCGTAGAGCTCTTTAGTGTGTGACTATGTAGAGCTCTTTAGTGTGTGACCCCGTAGAGCTCTTTAGTGTGTGACCCCGTAGAGCTCTTTAGTGTGTGACCCTGTAGAGCTCTTTAGTGTGTGACCCTGTAGAGCTCTTTAGTGTGTGACCCTGTAGAGCTCTTTAGTGTGTGACTATGTAGAGCTCTTTAGTGTGTGACTATGTAGAGCTCTTTAGTGTGTGACCCCGTAGAGCTCTTTAGTGTGTGACTATGTAGAGCTCTTTAGTGTGTGACCCCGTAGAGCTCTTTAGTGTGTGACTATGTAGAGCTCTTTAGTGTGTGACCCTGTAGAGCTCTTTAGTGTGTGACCCCGTAGAGCTCTTTAGTGTGTGACCCTGTAGAGCTCTTTAGTGTGTGACTATGTAGAGCTCTTTAGTGTGTGACCCCGTAGAGCTCTTTAGTGTGTGACCCCGTAGAGCTCTTTAGTGTGTGACCCCGTAGAGCTCTTTAGTGTGTGACCCTGTAGAGCTCTATAATATTGTAGAATCTAAACTTCTTTTCTTGTCGCTGCTCGCTCTCAGGATGACGATGAGGATGAAGACGACTATGCAGAGGAGGAGGAGGAAGGTGAGTGATGCATCATGGGATGTTTTTTCTGTCTGCAGAGCCCCTGGTGATCTCAGCTGATTGGTCCATTCTCTCTCTCTATCTCTGTGTGTGCAGAGGATAAAGCGGGCGTTCAGGGACAAAAGAGGAAGAGAGACGTGGACGACGAAGGCGAGGATGATGACGACGACGATGACGACGACTAGCCGCCCGGCGATGGTCGTCTGTGTGTCGTCCTGTCCTGTTTCTGTCCGTCTCCGTCCTCCTCCGGATCCGACCTCCGCCAGACAACAAACAAACAAGTCGACCAGTCAGGGCGCAGCAACAGGAACAGTGTGATCAGTTTTCACTTCTTTAGATCTATCAGGACACGCCTCCCTTTAAAACCGGGATCAAACTATGACCCCGCCTCCTGTCCCCATCCTGGACTCTGATCCTGGACTCTGATCCTGGACTCTGATCCTGGACTCACGCCGACATCCTCCGCCGGACCGCTCAGACAAATAAATCAGGTGTGAATTTTTCTGCTTCAGGCCGACGCCCACTCTTGAGACGAAACGCCGTCTGTCCTGAAGATCTGGAAAGTTCCCGATGCAGAGTCCAGTCCAGCTCAGACCACAAGACTCCAGCCTCAGATACTGAACTTAAAACCCAAATTCTGATTGGTCCATGTGATGCTGCACGTGAACGTTACCATGGTTACAGTGGATGTGGGATGTAACCACGCGCTCATCTGATTTTAGAAACACCGTTTTGTCATTTTTAAAGAAGTGCGAGCGGCGCCGTGTTGTTGTTTTATCCGTGGCGTTCGTGCATCTCTTATAAGTTAACGCTGTTATATTCAGTTTGCACGCCATGTCTGAACGCCTCCCTTATTCAGCTACTGAGACAGATGGCGCCCACTGCTGTTTGTTACATCCTTACATGTGATGTCATCAAATCAGACGACCAGAGTCCACCTAGAACCAAACTCCAAAACCTTCTGAACAGGAAGTGAATCCTTTGATTGACAGCTTCACACCCACCCCGCCAGTCAAAATACTTGCACGCTGGGCGCCAATCGTCTGGTGACGCCATTTAGAGTCTGAGCGGTGGATCCCGCCCCTTTAACACGAACACATTCAATAACCTGCTGAAAGGTCAAAGGTCGCTTTCAGACATCTCGGCACCTCTGTCCTCGTTACCGCCACCGCTTTCTTCTTCTGAGGTTATTTAATGGCAGTTAGCAGCTGCCATCTGGTGGCCGGAGAGCGTAACAACCAGACGATCCAGGACGCCATCAGCGCGGCGATGGTTAATCTCTTTTTAACATTCGTTCAGTTTAGCGCCGAGGTTTTGGATCTTGTGGTCTGAACTGGATCTCAAAGAACCTGATCCATCTTCATCACATGACTCTGAGCCAGGACACACCTGAGACACACCTCCTTCTGCGTCTGGACTCTAACAGGACCAATCAGGGACGAGTTTCAGGATCTCAGATTCCCCACCATCTTTGACCCTTTAGCTGCTGATCAGGATGAGTAGTGATCACTCCGCCCGTCACACCTGCTGTAGACATGATGATATTCCCCGTGTGTGTTTGATTTATTGTAGGGGGTTTCCCAGGGAAGATTAGGGGGGCAGGTGGGAGCAAAGTTTAGTCTGATGTGTTTTTTTGTATGATCTTTTTTTCCTTGAAAAGCTGTTTTGTAGTTTGATGTGAAAGCGAGCGCCGTGTCCTCAAACAGCCCGTCCCCTCGCCATGTTCAGATCGCTGTCGTGTCACTACTCAGGCTCCGCCCCCCTGAAATATACCTCAACCTCCAACTGAACCTGCAGCTCCTCTTAAGGGAATAGTTTTCCTTCATGTAGACCAAACCTGCGCTGCGTTCAGGTGCCTCTGTTCAAAACGCTACGTTCAGGTGCCTCTGCTCAAAACGCTACGTTCAGGTGCCTCTGTTCAAAACGCTGCATTCAGGTGCCTCTGTTCAAAACGCTGTGTTCAGGTGCCTCTGTTAAAAATGCTGCGTTCAAGTTCTGACATTTAAAATAATTACTGACCAATCACAGCCCACTCTGTAAGTCACAGAGCACCTGAACGCATCCTGACAGGTGAACAGTGGATTGTGGGATTTGTAGGAGGTGTAGCGTGGGTTTGATGGAGGCGGAGCCAGAAGTAGAACACGCCTGCCAGGTGTCACTGCTCAGC